AAACGAATGTGCGCGGCGCTAAAGCGAGAACCACATGTTGAAAACGACCAGCCCTCCATCCGTGAAGCTATGCCAAACATTTCAGACGAATGTACGCGGCGTTCAAGCGAGAAACACATGTAGAAAACGGCCCGCCCTCAAAACTGTTTCAGATGTGCAAGACGAGTGCGCGCGGCGCAAAGGCGAGAGCCACATTTTGCAAACGGCCGCCGTCAATCTGTGAAACTGTTGCACATTTCAATCTTCAGGATGATAAATGCTGGGGGAATCTCAAGCGAAACGCCGGGCCCGCCCTACCAACACGTCTGGGGGTGCGACAGGGAGGAGTTGTTCACAGGGAAGAGGGATGGAGGAGGTGGAGGAGAAGGAGGAGGAAGAAGAGGAGGAGGAGGAGGAGGAGGGAGGAGGAGGGAGACTAGGCGGAGGAAAAAGATAACGACGGAAGACGGAGTAGGAGGAGGAGGAGAAGGAGGGAGTAGGAGGACGAGGAGGGTGAGGGGGAGCAAGGCGGCGGGATGATTCGGCCACCTTTCTCCATGAGGGCACCAATGACGACGATACTCAGACCCGACATGCTGCCCGATCGAGACGGCAACATGATGAAACAACAACCGCACATTTTACGATTTGTGACCCTCAGAAGGCGCCCTCCGTGCCACGGACGCGTGAGAATGTGAAAGATATGATTGATTGAGTGAAGGTGAAGATGCAGATGAATATGATGATGCTGATGATGCTTATTCTGATGATGATGCTGATTCTGATGATGCTGATGATTGTGGTTGTGCTAATGGTGAGAATTACTCAGAAGGGGCCAAACGAAATAATAGCGCTTGACTCATGCAGGGGCAGGCATCCCATCACTCTTTTCCGGGTGGCGGAGTCAAGGAGCTGTCGTCCCGATCATGTGGAAAGGAAGGGAACACACAGCTGGCTTATCCGTGGAAGTGGCGCAACCCATGCTATCTTGGCACGCATCTACCAATTGCTGCCCAACCCATTCTGCGTAGTGGGCGCCATCCGTTTCGATTTCCCAACTGCGAGCATCAAAGGACCGACTCAACACACACTTGTTCTACTAATTCGTGCTTCATCTCATCAAGGCTCGGCTTACCATCCGCGTTGTTCGCCTTCCTCATGCTTTCGGAGCATACCTTTGGGCAGTGCTACAGCCTGCAATGTGGAGGGCGGTTTAGTTTCTGCAGAACGGGGCTCTCGCCTGAATGTCAGGCCCATGAAGCGCTCGCCTTTCGACGGGGTGCTCCCCGTGGGTAGAATACGGCCTTGCAGGGACGTGTGAGGAGGGTGCTTGGGACGGAAGGTTGTATTGCGGCATCGTTGACGTATCGTGTGCTCAGACGGTGGCGACGCCTATGCTATTTATTCGCCCCCTTCCCCTCTAGCTCCTCAGATCCTTCCACTTCCTCCTCCTCGCGCATGCTCGTACACTTCGCGGGGGTGGGGCGGTGTGTGTGTGTGTGTGTGTGTGTGTGTGTGTGCGTGTGTGTGTGTGTGTGTGTGTGTGTGTGTGTGTGTGTGTGTGTGCAATGGAATGATGTCAGACAGTCCCGACTGGCCACAGTTTCTGCGCTCCCCTTCCTCCTTCTTCCCCCTGCTCCTTCTCCTCATCCCCCTCCTCCCCCCCTGCTCCCTCCTCCTCGCTGCCCCCCTGGCTCCTCGCGACCCCCCTCCCTCCTCCCTCCCACTTCCTCCTTGTCCTGCTCCTCGCCCCCTTCCCCCGCCTCTTCCTTTTTCTTTCCGAGCCCTCAAAGTAGGTCCGCGCTCGGTCCGCCAGCCCGGCAGGGCCGCCTGGCGCGGGCCCCTGCTTCCCGCCGCGACTGGCCCCCCCCCCCCCGCCCCCCCCGCCCCCCCTAGCGCCTGCCCTGCGGCTGCTCTCCTCACGGCTGCAGGAGTGTGGCGCCCTCCTCCTCCTCTCCCTCCTCGGCGCCCCCTTGCCCGCGCCTCGCGCGCCCTCGCGGAAGCTCGGCCCACGAAGATCGAGGCTGAGTGCCCCCCTCGAAAGGCTTCGCCGCCGAGGGCCGCGCAGGTCGGGGTTGCGCATGACGCCCGCCGCCTCGCTAAGCTCCACCGCCTCGGCGGGGCCAACTTTGTGCGTCTGCTGCGCGCCGCCGCGCTTGAACAGCCTGGCGGTGGCCTTCGGGCTCACGTAAGACTCCACCTGCGATATCTGGACCTCGGCGCGGATCCGCCGCCGTACCCCCTGGCACTCCCTCCAGCTAATCCTCTTAATCTTCTCCCCCCCCCTCTCCTCCTCCTCTTCCCCATTCTGCCCCCGTCCCCTTCTCCTACTGCCCCCTCCTTCTCCTCTTCCTACTCCTGCTCCTTATGCTGAGAGCCCGGCGTTCACAATCTCCAGCCGTGGGGCGTCCTGCCGCGAGCAGATGAACACCTTCGGGGCAGGCGGTGGAAGGACGATGGAGACGACGGGGAGGAGGAGGAGGAGGAGGAGGAGGAGGAGGAGGAGGAGGAGGAGGAGGAGGAGGAGGAGGAGGAGGAGGAGGAGGAGGAGGAGGAGGAGGAGGAGGAGGCGGAGGAGACCTACACCAGCTGGATGTGCCACCATATTAAACATGCACCAGAAAAGGGGCCAGCAACATACGAGCTACCAGTCATCGGAGAGTTCAGCCTCCACGCATTTTCTCCTGTCAGAGGCCCGCTGCCCGAGATCTTCAGTTTGGGAGGAGGACAAGGATGATGAGGATGATGAGGATGAGGATGAGGATGAGGATGAGGATGATGATGATGATGATGCTGATGATGATGATGAGACAGGAGGGAGGAGGGGGAGAAGGGGAAGGATGGAGGATGAAGATCACTCCAAGCACGCCCCCATTTGATGTTGATGACTCACCAGGTGTGTTCTCCTGCAGTGTTGCTGTTCAGGGCCTCATTACACGAAGCAAATGGCTTCCTCTCTCGCTCTAAGTATGACTCTACAACAGTGATAAACAGTACGTTAATGTCCGAATCGAGGCTGCCGCGGAAGAAAGGAGGATAAGGACAAGGAGGATGAGGAGGTTGGGAAGGATGATGAGGACGAGGATGATGATGAGGAAGAGGATGATGAGGGTGATAGTGATGATGAGGAGGATGATGATGAGGAGGACGACGAGAGAATCATGAACAGGAGGAAGAGGGAGACTGGTGGTGCGTAGGGGGGAGGAGAAGGAGGCAACACAGCATGCCATCAGGGATACACTCCACTATGGGAAAGACAGGTGCACCTTCGAACTGGCGTATTCCCCTCGAGGTGCACCCAAGGATCAGAAGTCAAGATCCCTGCACTGACATCCTTGTGTTCACAATTCCGTCCCATAGCCACCCTCTGCTCCATCCCTCCCTCTTCACCATAGTGCACACCCCCAGCAACGATGCCCTCTGGCATCTTTTCGCGGACCGCCGAGTTCCGAGTTCCCCCTTCGCCACCTGCTTCTTCCCCCCTCCTACCTTCTCGTCGCTCTCCTCCTCCTCCTCCTCCTCCTCCTCCTCCTCCTCCTCCTCCCCATCCCCTTCCTCCCCCTCGTCACCCTTTTCATGGTCCTCCCTCCCTAAAGCTCCTCCTCATCTCTCCTCCTCCTCTTCCTCCTCCTCCTCCTCCTTCTCCGCCTCTCTGCCCTCCCTCCCTCCCTCTCTCCCTCCTCGTTTCTTCCTCCCTCCCTCCCTTCCTCCCTCTCTCCCCTACTTACCTTCCTCCCTTTCTCACCCTTCTCATCGTTCTCCCTCCCTCCCTCCCTCCCTTCTTCCCTCCCTCCCTCCTCATTTCTTCCTCACTCGCCCTGTCCCCGCCTCCTCGTTATTTTGCTGCTGCTCATCCTCATCCGATGCTGCGCTCCGCGGAGAGGAGCCCCCCTGGTCTTGAGCGATGAAACCTTGGCTTCGTGATAGGGCCTCGGGTCTGGCACTCGTCCGACTGCCCTGCGGGAGCGGCACGTCTTCAAGCACAGGAAACTGGCGCAAGCTTGGCACGATACATTGCCGCCCTCTTGCCCAAGACCGTGGGCGCCCACCAGAAGCCAGGAGCTCCTCCCCCCGCGGGAACCTTCCCGTCCTGGGACGACTCCCGCCGTCGGATGGACTCCACAGGCTGCGGTGGGCCTTCAGTCCGGAACGCCAGCGCCCGCGCTGTCGCCGCGCCGAGGTGCCACGACACGCCGCACACCTCCGACGTGCTGTTTTTTTCGATCTGCGGCGGGGTGTCTGAAGCTCTCCGACCTCGTCGATGGCATGGCCTGCGCGCCGTGGGCTCCAAAAGAGAGTGCCTCTCAGGAGGCCCAGGCTATGTGGAAGCCCGGAGTGCCTTTTGCCGGCGGGATCGCGCGCTGCGGCTGCCGCCCCGCGCCACGCAACGCCCGCGGCCCCTTTTCCTTCACCTCCTGCTTCTTCTCCCCTCCTATCTTCTCGTCACTCTCCTCCTCCTCCTCCTCCTCCTCCTCCTCCTGCTCCTCCTACCTTCTCGTCACTCTCTCCTCCTCCTCCTCCTCCTCCTCCTCCTCCTCCTCCTCCTCCTCCTCCTGCTCCTCCTACCTTCTCGTCACTCTCTCCTCCTCCTCCTCCTCCTCCTCCTCCTCCTCCTCCTCCACCTCCTCCTCCTCCTCCTCCGCCCGCGGTGCCTCCTCCTGCTTCGCGGTCCAGAGCGGGGGCCTCTTGAAGGCCACGAGGAGCCGGTCGTGGTCGGTGCCGTCCGCGAAGACGTAGCGGACCTCCACGGCGCTCCCGCCTGGCCGCGGGGACGGGCCCCCCTCCGCACCTTCCCTTCTCATCCTCTCTATGTCCCTCCTCCTTCCCCTCCTCCTTCCCCTTCTCACCCTCTCTACCCCTCCTCCTTTCCCTCCTCCTTGCCCCCTCTCACCCTCTCTACCCCTCCTCCTCCCCCTCCTCCCGCCTACCTCCTGCCTCCTCCCTTCGCTTTCTCCCTCGTTCTCCCCGGCCTCGAAGCAGCGCACCCTCTTCCTTCTCCTGTGGGCAGTATGGACTGGGCCAGGGTGTGGCATCTGGAGCCCCCGCTGCCCCGCTCCCTCCCTCCCTCCAGCCGTCCGTGAGCGTCCTGGCACAAGAATTTCGCACGGCGGCGGCAGCAAGTGCCCATGGACCCGCCCAGCGACCCAATGCAGTCGGACAACACGCGGAACGTCGTCGCCCTCGGGCGTCTGCGCTGGAGGTCGCCCTCCAAGCTCGTGGCCATGTCGTACCCCTGCTGCGGTCGGGAACTGTTGGTTATCGGCTACACGCAAGAGTGACCCTGGGTAAGAGTGACCTTTGGTGCGCGGCTTCTTTTTGGTCGCGGGGAGACCAAACCTGGGTGCGCAAGCCGCTGCTACCGCTTCGTTTTCAGCCATCTGGGGACCCATCTGTGCCCGCACCAAAGGTCACTCCGGGGCAAGGTCACCCTTACGTCTAGTCGAACTTTTGCGCGACACGCCAACCACGTCCCGGTCTCCGCACGTCAGTGTCCCGAGGCTTCCGAAGCCTCTCGCCCCGCGGAGTGGAGCGACACGCTGCCCGCTTGCGGGGCATGGCGTGTCGCCAAGGCCGTCGCCGCGACATGCTGATCAAAAATCCTCCTCTTCCTCCTCCTCCACCTCCTCCTCCTCCCTCTCCTCCTTTTTCTCCTCCTCCTCCTCCTCCTCCTCCTCCACCTCCCCCTCCTCCCCCTCCTCCTCCTCCTCCTCCTCCTCCTCCTCCTCCTCCTCCTCCTCCTCCCTCCCTCTGAATTATCCAGCTGCCTGTGGCAAGTTCCGCTACCATGCCAGGGCCGCACTCTGTGTGACGACTGTTCGAGCACCGCCCAGAGGGTCGTCACATTCGACATCTTTCGTCTCTGCCCCTTGATGGGGCTCTCATGAAGCCTACCTGGGCCGTCTTGAGCCTGTCTTAGGCTCATGTGGGGCCCTTTTGGGACCATCTTGAGCCGTCTTGGCCCCCTCTCGGCCGTCTGGAGGGTATGCTGGGGTTGGGACTGCCTTGGGTGCATTTTGGGGCCCCTTTGGGTATCTTGGACTCACACGGCGAAGGGCGCGGGTCAGCACAGCCGTCTCCAGAGCCTCGCAGCAGGCACCGTGCGCGTGCAGAGAACCAAACGACGATATAGACGCAACAACTCGGAGGTCAGCGCGGCTTTCTTGGATCGGCGCTGGATCCCCCTGGCGGCGCCTCTGGCGCCGCCCCTGGCGCGCTCCGCGCGCCAAGGAGGGGGGCCCAGCGCCGACCCGAGAAATCCGCGCGGACCTCCGAGTTGTTGTGTTTATGTCCGCGCCTCTTGCTGCGGCACGTCGGCACGCGCGTGGAGGCTTGCCTGGCCCGAGCGCGGCTCTCGCTTCCCCTGGGGCCCTCCCCCGGCCCCCCCTCCGCGCCTCGCGCGCGCTTCCCTGGTCCTCTCGTGCCTCGATCTGCCAGTGAGTGCGCCCCCCCCCCCCCCCCACCGCAGCCCGACCGCCGCTGGATCCCCTGCGGGGAGGTGCCCTGCCATGGGTCGGGAGCGTGCAGGCCATGGGCCCCCGCCCCCGAGAGCGGCTCCTCGCCGAGCTGCGGGCCGCACGCTTCCCGGGTGCTGCCGACGTGAAGCATCTTGGCCAGCCGAGCTCTGGAGGACACGCCGCCGCTGTCGCCGACCCCGCGCCGGGGTCAACTTTTTTATGGAGTGATTCCCTCGGGCTCGGCCGCCTGGTCCGTTAGCTCGCGCGCGTGCTGTGCATATCACGAGCCACAGGGGTAACAAGTCGTGAAGCATTCCTGCGACCCCGCGCTGCGTTCACGATGCCCCGCGTCCAAACCACCGTGGACTCTCCCCTGCTGGACGAAGTCTCCGCTGCTGGACGAGGCGGGGTCCACGCCGCAACGGCCCACCCAGCTGCAGGGCCTCAGCGAGTGCTACGAAACAGCTTTCACGGACGTGGACGTTCTGTTCAGCATCCGTCTATGGGGTCCCAGACACCCTCGCGTTGTTAAAAAGTCACGACGGGAGGGGCCCTCGTCTGGCCCAAGGACCCTACAAAAACTACTCAGGATGAAGAACTGGTCCCTGGGAATGGGTCGCGACCTCTGGGAGTCGACGGTGTGAAAAATCATGACGTCGGGGATCTGGGGTTAGAGACCAGATACCATAACAAAAGATAACACCGTGCCCCTTGGGATGCTTTCGATGAGTGTGATCGAGGTCTGTGCACTCTGGCAGCAACACCTCGGCCATCCGCGCGGTCTCGCTGGTGCAACGTCCGACTGCGCTCCGTGGAATTGGCATGACGTCCAATTAAGAATGCTTCGTGTGCCCCCACCAACCCATTCAATATTACGCGATTGAACTGCCATGGAACAACCGTGGGGAACGAACTCTGGGGCTCCCTGTCGCCGGGGACCGATCCTCTCTCGGCTCCCTGGTCCCCCTATCGACGCGGAAGGCTTTCTCAATCCGGCCATCGCGTGCCTTCTTTTGGTGCTCACCTCCGCCTGACTCCCGTGCCTCCTCCCTCCTCCCTCTCGACACTCACGACTCCCGCCGCGAGCAACGACCCCAAAACCGCGCGCCACGACCCGCGAACCGGACACGCACCACGGACCGTGCCTTCGGTTAGGCAGGGTGCCGCTGCTTTCCCCTCCCTACGGTGAGGGCGTCGGACAAGGAACCGTTCGATGGGGAATCCAGGGCCTGGAAGCAAATGTAACACCAGTTGAGGCTTGGCCATGAATATCGCCGCCGCCCTCATCGGCCAAGGAATCCTCCAGGGCTTGAAACCTCCTGGGCGCATTCCTGAACGAGCGCCCCCGTCGTACGAGACACCACGCTCAGCGCCCCCGTGGATCGGCCTTCGCTCTCGTCCGCGGAGCTGTCCATCAGAAACCACAGGTACGGGTCGATCTGGGGCGCCGGGCGGAAGCCGAGGCCGCCGAAGTACGACTCCAGCGCCGCGGACCTCAGGAGGGAGCGGCGGGGCAGGAGGAGTGGGGGAGAAGGGGGAGGACCCAGACGCCCGACGATGTTTTCTCTTGCCTTTTCATCCGCGGACCCCACGGGTCCTGGCTTCTTCTTCTTCTTCTCCTCCTTCCCGTGCCCGTTTCTGATGGCCCCTTTAGCCCGAGGACGGCCCCCAGGATTCGGCGGCGAGCACAGGGGGGAAGCGAGAGGGTGTAGGCCTGCTCAGCAGGCGGCGGGGCTTCTCGGAAGCCCTCGCGCCTTCTGAGAGGCCTGCGTGGCTTCGGCGGAGGCCTGCAAAGCTTCTCAGAAGGCGCCAGGGCTTTCGAGAAGCCCCGCCGCCTGCTGAGAAGGCGTGCCCCCTCTCGCTTCCCCCCTGGGCCCGCCGCCGAAGGACCGATAAGCATCAATCCGCCAGAGGTCCGGGGAGGAGGGAGCGCAGTGCTTTGGCCCACAGCAGCACCGACGTAATTGTTCAAAGAAGCACTGCAGGCAGGAAGAGACCACGCCGTGCAAGTGGGGGCCCGAGGCAAATGCCACAGGATAGGGGCGCCCCTGCTGCGTGAAGGGAGTGCTGGACCCTCGGCGCGCCACCGCCTGGCCCCGCGAGGGGAAGGTCTCCACTGGCTCACTTGGGCCGATGCGAGAGAGCCGCCACCATTAGTTTGAGCAGGAGATGGGAGCGGACAGCGATAATCTACACGAGTCGCCTCGCAAAGCGTGCGCACAACGATGATGTACGACGCAAGGCTGTTCAGCGAACGTCGCCCAAAGTACTTGGCTTCAATGAAAATTTCCTTGGAAACTCGCAGCAACAAATGTATGCATGTACACCCATCGGCGAGGTGAGTTGTCGCGCACGTGTGCTCAGCGCTCGCACGCGCGCGATCCCAAGACGTCCACATGGCCACAAAATGGTTCCAGGAGGGCCTAAGGCCACAAACGATAACGTCCAAACGACCCTGGGATGATGCCACCCCAACACGATCCCGGCATGGATTCTGGACCGTCTCAGGCTGACTCGAAGATGACCAAACACATGAGCCACGAGTGACGCCGAGATGGCCCGATGGCAACAACATGGATCTACGCGCGCCCAACGACCTGGGATATTTGTTTACCCTATTTTTGGTGGGTGGGATCTTAGTCTGGCTGAACTGAAATTATAATGTCATAGGGGAGGAAGTTCGGCGGGATCCCGCCCGGCCCACGGCAGAAGACTACACTGCTAGGCTTCTACGGGGGTAAGGGGGTTCGCACGGGGCGTCATTTTTTCCGCTGTCTTCCGCGAGCCTTCCGACGGCTTCCGCTAGCGAGCGTCTTGAAAATTCAAAGAACTCTCATTTAACCGATGTAGTGTTGCTTTGAGGCTCCTGGGATTCTGTGAGAGCCTGATACCGTGATCAGCAGCAGCATGCAGCGAGCACGACGCGTCGTACGGCCGCCACCTTTTCTGCCTCGAGTCATTGACGATAGGCAGGTTCGGCGAACGCTCGAGCACAAGACAAAACTGCCGATTCCCGTACTGTCGGCCTGACCAGAAGAAGGAAAAGCAGCGCGCATGGCACGCGGAGCGGGCCAGGGGCGGCGCCGGAGGCGCCGCCAGGGGGGACCATCGCCGATCCAAGAAATCCGCGCGGAGCTCCGAAAACGTATGTTTATGCGGTTTTTACTTCTTCCAGTCTCCCTGGACCTCTTGAGGGGCACGCTATGACCAAAATTTCGCGGCAAATCCAGCCATGGAAACGAGGGAGAGGTGCTGGTATCAATAATCAAGATCTCATCTTCTGAGACGATGGCAAAATCAACCAGCAACGATTCAGGAAATCGTATCGAATCGGAATGTGCATCGGATCGGGCCGCATCGGCACGGAGTCGAGGTCAAATAGGATCGGCTGCACCAGGATGCACAACGGCGCCATGCAAGCATCGGGTCGCACCGCATCGCGGGGATATCAACGTCGAGCTGGACCGAACTGGCCGATAACGGAATCGAATCGGATCTATCGGATCGGAATGGGACCTGCGATGGTGTCGGCGCACCAATTAGTTCTCCTTCGTCAAGTCGTCGAAAGCGGGGCCGCGCGCGAGCGCCTTCCGTTTGCGAGGTGGGACCGCGTTCCAATCCCAATATCACGTTGTGTCACAATCGGTTGTCCTGTTGGGGGAGGGAGGGTGGGGAAAACATGGGGCCTATCTGACTCCCTCGACCTGGCGAAACTGAACGACGGACCGTAGCGTCACTCTCTTCACTCACAGCCTGGGTACCCGAGGGTACAACCGGAGGAGGAGGAGGAGGGGGAGGAGGAGGGGGAAGAGGAGGAGGAGGAGGAGGAGGAGGAGGAGGAGGAGGAGGAGGCGGAGGAGGAGGAGGAAGGAGGGGGGAGGGAGGAGGAGGAGAGGAGGAGGAGGAGGAGGAGGAGGAGGAGGAGGAGGAGGAGGAGGAGCGCTCGCGCCCCCCTCCGCGGTGGCGGCAGCGGCGGTGCCCGCCCTCGCGCCGCGGCCCCCCGAGCCCGGGGCTGTGGCTCGACCGTGAGCACGCGGCCAACCGCCTCGCGCGGCGGGAGGAGCCGCCCGCGGCTGGAGAGCAGGGGCGCCTCCTCCTCCCTCCCTCCCTCGTGTCCCCCTGCTCCTCCTCCCTCCCTCGTGTCCCTCCCCCCCTCGTGTCCCTCGTGTCCCTCCCTCCCTCGTGTCCCTCCTCCCTCCGTCTCCTTCCTCCTCCATCTCCTCCTGCTCTTCTCAGCTTTCCCTGCCCCGCCGCCTCCTCCTGCTTCTTCTCCTCCCATCCTCCGCCTTCCACTCCCGTCTCCTCCTCTTGCCTCCCCCTCCCTCCTCCATCCCGCTTCATCCTTCCATCCTCTTTCCTCCTCCTCCCCCTCCTCCTTCTTGCGCCCCTGGATTCTGAAAAGTCGGGCGTCGTGATTGTTCGGTGACGCAGGCGGGCCAGAAGGCCCGCGGCGGCGGAGCCGCTGGCGGCGAGAGAGGAGGGCGGCGGGCGCACTTGAAGGGGCCTCTCGGGCAGCCTCCACGGCAAAGTTCTCGGGAAGGGATGGGCCCCCTCGTTCGCTGCCCTCTTCGCCGACAAGGGAGGCGGCGACGACGACGACCTCGGCCTCGACGATGGCGGCAGCGGCGGCGGCCGCGGCGGGGGGGCCGCCGTGGCGAAGGAGAGCAGCGAGCGCACCAGCGCCGCGCCTGCCCCGCGCATGCCGGGGGGTGGGTTCGGGCTGGTGATGAGCTGGTCGAGGTGCAGGGCCTGCCACGGGCCGTTGCGCGCCAGAGAAGGGGGGGTGAGGGAGGAGGGCGATGATGCTGATGATGCTGATGATGATGCTGCTGATGATGATGCTGATTCATATGATGATGACGAAGATGATGCTGCTGATGATAATGCTGCTGCTGATGATGATGATGGTGATGCTGATGATAATGATGATGGTGGTGATGCTGCTGCTGCTGCTGATGATGATGATGATGATAATGACGACGACGATGTTGCCGATGGTGATGGTGATTGTTTGCTGGTGGTGATGATGACGATGAGGAGGAGGAGGAAGAAAAGGGGGAGGGGGACGGAGGAGGGGGATGAGGATGGGCGAGGAGGAGAAGTGAGAGGGAGGAGGGAGGGGGAAGGGCAAGGATGCTGCTGGGGAGAAGAGCTAGGAGACACAGGGAACGAGAGAAAGAGAGAGAGAGAGAGAGAGAGAGAGAGAGAACGAGAGAGAGAGAGAGAGAGAGAGAGAGAGAGAGAAGGAAAGAGAGAGAGAGAGAGAG